GATTACTTTTTGGATGCCTGATAGAGGAGAAAACAGTTTGTATTCCTGCCTCATTCAATTGTTTAAGCCAGAGAAATGACGTAAACTGCGTCCCATGATCAGAAAGGATGCGATGGGGTTTTCCCATCTCAGGAATATAAGAATCGAATACCTTCTTTAAAATCGTGCGAGTGTTCTCTTTCCTTATAGGATATAACTTTACATACTTAGTAAAGGCATCAAGCATGACAAAGATATACTCCATACCTCCTACAGATCGCGGCAATGGACCGTAAAAATCGACGCATATTAAATCTCCCGGAGCGGACGAAGCTACCAAATTATAACCTCCCTCCATTTTGATATTTATATTCTTGACGCGCTGACAAAGATCACAACCCAACACAAATTTCCTTATTTCCGAATTCATCGATTTCCAGTGATAATACTGTTTGATATATCGAACAGTTTTATAAACTCCTGGATGTCCCAACTTTGAATGAATACAATCTACCAATGTTTTCGAGATTTGGGACGGGATAACTATCTGCCAAGAATTTCTAGCAATATCCCATCGAAAAACTATTCCATCTTTTACGACATAATTCTTACTAATTTCAGAATCTCCCATTTGTTTCAACAAACTGCTAATATAGGGATCATCTTTTTGCAATATTGATAGATTTTGTAACGAATCAGATAAATCAGGACCATATTCAATCATCTCGCACTGACATGAAGACTGACTGTCACAACACTCAATACTCAAAACATCGATCGATAACATCTGACTTTGACTACATTCAAATTTGCCATTCGGATTCCGACTAAAAAAGTCAGCCACAACATTATCCTTTCCCTTGCAGTGATGGACCTCAAAATCAAATTGTTGAAGAGCAATGCTCCAACGAAAGAGTCGCGAATTCAGAAAAGATGTCGTATTCAGAAACATTAAGGCTTTGTGGTCGGTAATCACCTCGAATTTAACTCCTATCAAATAAGTTCTGAGTTTGATGATTGAATACACAATTGCTAACAACTCTTTTTCAGTAGTTGTATAATTCAATTCAGCAACACTCAGGGAACGACTGACAAGAGAAATAACTCGATGATTATCTTCCGAATCAATTTGGTACAAAATACCACTAATGCCTAAATCCGAAGCATCTGTTTGTAGCTTGAAGGTCACTCCAGGTAAGTAATGACTAAGCCTAACACTCTCTACAAACGCTGATTTCATATCCGCAAACGCTCTCTCATGTGCATCGGTCCAGTTCCACTTATTTTTCTCCTTTAACAAATCACGAAAGGGTGCCAATAAATTCGAATGTTTTACGGTAAATTGGCGATAATAGGTACATATACCCAAAAATTGCTGCAAATCTCGTCGATTATTAGGTCTATCAAAATTAATAATCATCTCCAATTTATCAGAAAGAGGACGAACTCCATCAATAGAAATCTCGAATCCCAAAAATTTAACTTTTGTTCGACAAAACAAGCACTTACTCAAATTGAGGGTAAAATTTTTCTTCTGAAGAACTCGAAAAATCCTAAATAAAGCATCAAAATGATCATAAATTGATCCCATTGTTGCAATCAAAAAATCATCTATGTATTTGGTTAAAATGTCATCAAACTGGCTGCCAATCGATAAACTCAGTGCCCGAATAAAGGCTGCACCAGCTGTCTTTAGACCAAAAGGAACTCTGCAAAATTGATACATTTTAGAATCGAATAAAAATGCTGTATACTTTCTGCAACTCGGGTGGAGAGGAATCTGCCAATATCCAGTAGCGAAATCAGTAATCGTCATATGAGTCACACCATGAAATTTCTGAATTAATTCACAAATTAAAGGCGGTGCTTCATGATCGGATTCAATGATTTCGTTTATAAAGCGTGCATCAAGACACACTCTTACTGAATCATCAGCCTTAATCACTATTCTCAATGGATTACAATATGAAGCATCGCATCTTTCTATCACATTTGCTTCCTCCATATTATCTAAAGCTATTCTAACCTTTCCCCTATGTTCAAATGGAACAGGATATGATTTTCTGATAATTGTTTTATGATTTTTAACTCGAAACTTATATTCGGGAACATCCGCACTAGTCAACTTTGGAGTGAATAAATTCTCAAATGCAGACATTTGATTAATGAAATATTCCCTTTCCACTTCATTCAACTCTGTTAATTCGAATGCAATCTTTCTCACTCCTTCCATAAACGCACTCGAACCAAATTTAGTTTCACTCGGAGAATCACTCACAGCATTTAATTCATAGATAAAACCCACTTCGTCAAGTTCCGTTTTCTCAAAATCTTTTTCATAAATAATATTACCAGAGATTTCTTCATAACAATTAAATTCATTAATGATCATATTACTACACAAATTTTCGTTATCATTTCTCGAATTTTCGATCACAGAATTTTCCCCATTATTATTCGGTTGAGTATAATAATCAACACTATTATGATTATTATCCGACAGGGATTGAACAACGTGAATCGTATTAGAACAGGCAATACGGTCCCCCTGGTTCTCACTTATTCGATCAATTATATTAAAACATTTTTGTTTTTTAATCCCTTGAATATAACTGTAATCTTTATCACTTTTTGAAATAATTTTCTGTTGTGACAAAGCACGATCAAAAGAAATCAAAGAATCATCAATTCGACTATCATTAACCGTAAATGTTGAATCTCGATAATTAATAATAGCTTTATTTCTCTGTAGCCAATCATTACCTAATATTATTGGGTTTGATAATTTAGGAACAATTAAAAAACATGATGGAAAAATTCCGAGACCAATATGCATGTCATATCTAATCTGTTTCTTAATACGCGTAGCATTCTTTCCTATAGCAGTAAACAGTGATATACTAGTAACCGGTAACTCATCAACTTTTCCGTGTTTAACTAAATATTCATAACACGTTTCGGAAATTGCAGTTATTTGACTGCCAGTGTCAATTAATGCATTAATTGGCACTGAAAAGAAATCCACAATAAGTCGCGGGCAAAGAGGAATATTCGATTTTATTTCTTTATTATCCGCTTGAGGATTTTTAATCACATCATTCGTTAAATTACTAAATTCATCATAAAGGTTCTGGCGCGAGGTCCCAACAGATGACATCGCGCCTTCTACCAGTTTAAATGACCGGCGCATGTCTGTAAATCTGAAGGGGTACAGAAATTAGGAGGAGGGATACTCATATCGGGAAGGGAATAACTGTGTGATGGGGGCCCCGCCCCGATCGCCGTCGTCCGAAAGACATCCCCACTTACTCCCACCTGCGAACTCAAAAGATTTACTGACTGAACCCGCTTTGGTTGATTTTCCCCTACCGTCCTCGTATCCTTAGTCATTTGATTCGAACGATTTTGAAACTTATCCTTAGATGGATCCAAATTATTCTGATTAGAGGCACTATAATTATTTGGTTGGGTTTTCTTTTGCGAATTATTCGTATCATCGAAGGTCAAATCAAGCTGAGCCAAACCCTGACAAATTCTATCGAAATTAGAAAAATCTACTGTGGCAAAAGCATCGCGCACTCGCATTGGCATTTGCTGTATGATAGTATAGTACATTTCGTATGGCTCGATTTTTGGTAAGAAATATTGAGCCTCTTGTACTTGTTTCAGAAAATAAGCTTGTAAGCTTTCTTTATTACCTTCAAAACGTCTAGCTAGCCAACTCGATTTGAGCCTAACCCGAATTGGAATAGAGTAAAACTCTTCGAGGAATTTAATTTTAAAAATATCGTAAGTTGTTATTTCGACTTTTCTCGTTTCAAACCATGCTAACGGTCTTCCCTCGAAAATTCCATCCAAGATATTCAATTTAGTCTCCTCACGAATATTTTTTAGTGTCATATATTTATCTAATTTTTCTAAAAATTTATTCGGATTCATACTCTCGTCAAATTTGGGAGCTTTTGCCTCTAAATGCACTGAACGAAGTCCGTCAACTAAAGCATTAACTACCTCATTATTATTATTATTATGATTAAGTCTAGCGACCTGATCTCTTAACTGAAGCAACTGAACATTCTGTGTATTGTTAAGTTGTCTAAGACGTACAATTTCTGCCTGTAATTCCTCCGGGGTCATGGCATTCATTTCATTTTCGCTATCACCTTCCATATCGTTAAATAAATCTTTCAAATTTCTTCGCGAATTATAATTTCTACGATTATTTCTAAAATTCTCTAAACCCGGTAAAAGAACACCACTTTTCGATCACAACAAAATTTTCATGCAAACACGAATTCAAATCATAAAATTGTTGGGTCTACGATTCATGCCCTTACGTTGAGCGCCATTTGTAACAATTTAATTATATCAAAATGTGAAAAAATAAGATTTTACATAAAATGAATGAATTTTCAGAATAAATGATCAATAAGACAATTGGGATCTGAAATACTGCGATACGCCATCTGGTGAGAGCCTTGTTGTGGTGGCCATGTTTTCATTCCGCGTTTCTCTAACATATACAAAAGAAAGAGATAAAAAACCAAGATGGTTGTCACAAGAAGGCTAAGGGGTGGGTCAGTTTCGCGTGATTTCTGATCCCAATTTGAAATAGGCAATGTAAATAAAAAATAATCACTAAATTCAATTAGATCGTATAATTGTTGCGCTTTCAGTTTTCGGATTATAATAAATAATTCGACCTTGTCAATTATAATTCTCAAGAGACGTCTCTATCGCGCAATATAATTTTAAATTAGTATAAATTAATATAAAAATAATTTCAGTCAAACATATAGATTTTTACAAATAAAAATTAAGAGATTAGTTGATAATATAAAAGATTTGAATATACATTCAGACAAATACACATTCATAAGACAAAATAAATCAAGAAAATACAAAAACTTAGCTTCCGTTGCTTTCGTTGAAATAGTGAAGTGGAGATTGCAAAATGCAGTTTGATTGACTCGTACAAATTAAATTTGAATGGTTGCCTGGATTCAGGGATATCATTTGAATGATGCGTGGAGAATTGTCACGAGTATGATTGTAATTATTGTGCGTATGCGTCGATTCAAGTGGGGATTTCTTGAATTTTCTTGAGTGATATGGCCTCGTGAATTAGAGAAATCCCTCACTTCCGTTTGCTGTTCGTATTCATCGCCATATTGTAAGCGTGCTGCCAGCGACCTTATAGGTATTCATTTGAACATTTTCCAAGTGATAAATAAATTAAATTTATTGTTATTTAAAATGTAAAAATATACTTTATAGTATGGTGCTTCTGCATAATGGGATGAGTGTGGATTAAGTGGATTAATACAGCGACCGTCACCACGTGGCTTTTGTAACGACGACTGGAACTATCTTTTGTCTTCGATCGTTCCTATTCAAAACTATGCCAAGCCGAATAATATATTGAAGTTAAAAATAATTGGGCTCTTCACGTCGTGGTTTGTACGAGTCAATCAAACTGCATTTTGCAATCTCCACTTCACTATTTCAACGAAAGCAACGGAAGCTAAGTTTTTGTATTTTCTTGATTTATTTTGTCTTATGAATGTGTATTTGTCTGAATGTATATTCAAATCTTTTATATTATCAACTAATCTCTTAATTTTTATTTGTAAAAATCTATATGTTTGACTGAAATTATTTTTATATTAATTTATACTAATTTAAAATTATATTGCGCGATAGAGACGTCTCTTGAGAATTATAATTGACAAGGTCGAATTATTTATTATAATCCGAAAACTGAAAGCGCAACAATTATACGATCTAATTGAATTTAGTGATTATTTTTTATTTACATTGCCTATTTCAAATTGGGATCAGAAATCACGCGAAACTGACCCACCCCTTAGCCTTCTTGTGACAACCATCTTGGTTTTTTATCTCTTTCTTTTGTATATGTTAGAGAAACGCGGAATGAAAACATGGCCACCACAACAAGGCTCTCACCAGATGGCGTATCGCAGTATTTCAGATCCCAATTGTCTTATTGATCATTTATTCTGAAAATTCATTCATTTTATGTAAAATCTTATTTTTTCACATTTTGATATAATTAAATTGTTACAAATGGCGCTCAACGTAAGGGCATGAATCGTAGACCCAACAATTTTATGATTTGAATTCGTGTTTGCATGAAAATTTTGTTGTGATCGAAAAGTGGTGTTCTTTTACCGGGTTTAGAGAATTTTAGAAATAATCGTAGAAATTATAATTCGCGAAGAAATTTGAAAGATTTATTTAACGATATGGAAGGTGATAGCGAAAATGAAATGAATGCCATGACCCCGGAGGAATTACAGGCAGAAATTGTACGTCTTAGACAACTTAACAATACACAGAATGTTCAGTTGCTTCAGTTAAGAGATCAGGTCGCTAGACTTAATCATAATAATAATAATAATGAGGTAGTTAATGCTTTAGTTGACGGACTTCGTTCAGTGCATTTAGAGGCAAAAGCTCCCAAATTTGACGAGAGTATGAATCCGAATAAATTTTTAGAAAAATTAGATAAATATATGACACTAAAAAATATTCGTGAGGAGACTAAATTGAATATCTTGGATGGAATTTTCGAGGGAAGACCGTTAGCATGGTTTGAAACGAGAAAAGTCGAAATAACAACTTACGATATTTTTAAAATTAAATTCCTCGAAGAGTTTTACTCTATTCCAATTCGGGTTAGGCTCAAATCGAGTTGGCTAGCTAGACGTTTTGAAGGTAATAAAGAAAGCTTACAAGCTTATTTTCTGAAACAAGTACAAGAGGCTCAATATTTCTTACCAAAAATCGAGCCATACGAAATGTACTATACTATCATACAGCAAATGCCAATGCGAGTGCGCGATGCTTTTGCCACAGTAGATTTTTCTAATTTCGATAGAATTTGTCAGGGTTTGGCTCAGCTTGATTTGACCTTCGATGATACGAATAATTCGCAAAAGAAAACCCAACCAAATAATTATAGTGCCTCTAATCAGAATAATTTGGATCCATCTAAGGATAAGTTTCAAAATCGTTCGAATCAAATGACTAAGGATACGAGGACGGTAGGGGAAAATCAACCAAAGCGGGTTCAGTCAGTAAATCTTTTGAGTTCGCAGGTGGGAGTAAGTGGGGATGTCTTTCGGACGACGGCGATCGGGGCGGGGCCCCCATCACACAGTTATTCCCTTCCCGATATGAGTATCCCTCCTCCTAATTTCTGTACCCCTTCAGATTTACAGACATGCGCCGGTCATTTAAACTGGTAGAAGGCGCGATGTCATCTGTTGGGACCTCGCGCCAGAACCTTTATGATGAATTTAGTAATTTAACGAATGATGTGATTAAAAATCCTCAAGCGGATAATAAAGAAATAAAATCGAATATTCCTCTTTGCCCGCGACTTATTGTGGATTTCTTTTCAGTGCCAATTAATGCATTAATTGACACTGGCAGTCAAATAACTGCAATTTCCGAAACGTGTTATGAATATTTAGTTAAACACGGAAAAGTTGATGAGTTACCGGTTACTAGTATATCACTGTTTACTGCTATAGGAAAGAATGCTACGCGTATTAAGAAACAGATTAGATATGACATGCATATTGGTCTCGGAATTTTTCCATCATGTTTTTTAATTGTTCCTAAATTATCAAACCCAATAATATTAGGTAATGATTGGCTACAGAGAAATAAAGCTATTATTAATTATCGAGATTCAACATTTACGGTTAATGATAGTCGAATTGATGATTCTTTGATTTCTTTTGATCGTGCTTTGTCACAACAGAAAATTATTTCAAAAAGTGATAAAGATTACAGTTATATTCAAGGGATTAAAAAACAAAAATGTTTTAATATAATTGATCGAATAAGTGAGAACCAGGGGGACCGTATTGCCTGTTCTAATACGATTCACGTTGTTCAATCCCTGTCGGATAATAATCATAATAGTGTTGATTATTATACTCAACCGAATAATAATGGGGAAAATTCTGTGATCGAAAATTCGAGAAATGATAACGAAAATTTGTGTAGTAATATGATCATTAATGAATTTAATTGTTATGAAGAAATCTCTGGTAATATTATTTATGAAAAAGATTTTGAGAAAACGGAACTTGACGAAGTGGGTTTTATCTATGAATTAAATGCTGTGAGTGATTCTCCGAGTGAAACTAAATTTGGTTCGAGTGCGTTTATGGAAGGAGTGAGAAAGATTGCATTCGAATTAACAGAGTTGAATGAAGTGGAAAGGGAATATTTCATTAATCAAATGTCTGCATTTGAGAATTTATTCACTCCAAAGTTGACTAGTGCGGATGTTCCCGAATATAAGTTTCGAGTTAAAAATCATAAAACAATTATCAGAAAATCATATCCTGTTCCATTTGAACATAGGGGAAAGGTTAGAATAGCTTTAGATAATATGGAGGAAGCAAATGTGATAGAAAGATGCGATGCTTCATATTGAAATCCATTGAGAATAGTGATTAAGGCTGATGATTCAGTAAGAGTGTGTCTTGATGCACGCTTTATAAACGAAATCATTGAATCCGATCATGAAGCACCGCCTTTAATTTGTGAATTAATTCAGAAAACAAATTTTTCGTTTTCTTTTTGAAGTTATTTACAGTTTTCCTTCAAAATTTGAAATCACATGCCTTACATACATGTCTATTCAAAAAAAATGCCAAATTTTTTTTTGCGCGATTTTTTGCAATTTTTTGCAATTTTTTATTTTTTTACGATAATAAAACATAAAATACGTCACTATTTTAAATCTCAGCTAAAAAAAAATTTTTTTCACAAAGTTATGGCGATATTCAATTTCCCTCATATCCTTCTTATTATATTAAGTTCTAAAACGACCGACACCGACCGACACCAAAAACAAATTTTTCGTTTTCTTTTTGAAGTTATTTACAGTTTTCCTTCAAAATTTGAAATCACATGCCTTACATACATGTCTATTCAAAAAAAAATGCCAAATTTTCTTTTGCGCGATTTTTTGCAAAAAAAATTTTTTGCAATTTTTTGCAATTTTTTATTTTTTTACGATAATAAAACATAAAATACGTCACTATTTTAAATCTCAGCTAAAAAAAAATTTTTTTCACAAAGTTATGGCGATATTCAATTTCCCTCATATCCTTCTTATTATATTAAGTTCTAAAACGACCGACACCGACCGACACCAAAAACAAATTTTTCGTTTTCTTTTTGAAGTTATTTACAGTTTTCCTTCAAAATTTGAAATCACATGCCTTACATACATGTCTATTCAAAAAAAAATGCCAAATTTTTTTTTGCGCGATTTTTTGCAAAAAAAATTTTTTGCAATTTTTTATTTTTTTACGATAATAAAACATAAAATACGTCACTATTTTAAATCTCAGCTAAAAAAAATTTTTTTTCACAAAGTTATAGCGATATTCAATTTCCCTCATATCCTTATCCTTCTTATTATATTAAGTTCTAAAACGACCGACACCGACCGACACCAAAAACAAATTTTTCGTTTTCTTTTTGAAGTTATTTACAGTTTTCCTTCAAAATTTGAAATCACATGCCTTACATACATGTCTATTCAAAAAAAAATGCCAATTTTTTTTTTGCGCTATTTTTTGCAAAAAAAATTTTTTGCAATTTTTTGCAATTTTTTATTTTTTTACGATAATAAAACATAAAATACGTCACTATTTTAAATCTCAGCTAAAAAAAAATTTTTTTCACAAAGTTATGGCGATATTCAATTTCCCTCATATCCTTCTTATTATATTAAGTTCTAAAACGACCGACACCGACCGACACCAAAGACAAATTTTTCGTTTTCTTTTTGAAGTTATTTACAGTTTTCCTTCAAAATTTGAAATCACATGCCTTACATACATGTCTATTCAAAAAAAATGCCAAATTTTTTTTTGCGCGATTTTTTGCAAAAAATTTTTTGCAATTTTTTATTTTTTTACGATAATAAAACATAAAATACGTCACTATTTTAAATCTCAGCTAAAAAAAATTTTTTCACAAAGTTATGGCGATATTCAATTTCCCTCATATCTTCTTATTATATTAAGTTCTAAAACGACCGACACCGACCGACACCAAAAACAAATTTTTCGTTTTCTTTTTGAAGTTATTTACAGTTTTCCTTCAAAATTTGAAATCACATGCCTTACATACATGTCTATTCAAAAAAAATGCCAAATTTTTTTTTGCGCGATTTTTTGCAATTTTTTGCAATTTTTTTTTTTTACGATAATAAAACATAAAATACGTCACTATTTTAAATCTCAGCTAAAAAAAAATTTTTTTCACAAAGTTATGGCGATATTCAATTTCCCTCATATCTCTTCTTATTATATTAAGTTCTAAAACGACCGACACCGACCGACACCAAAAACAAATTTTTCGTTTTCTTTTTGAAGTTATTTACAGTTTTCCTTCAAAATTTGAAATCACATGCCTTACATACATGTCTATTCAAAAAAAATGCCAATTTTTTTTGCGCGATTTTTTGCAATTTTTTGCAATTTTTTATTTTTTTACGATAATAAAACATAAAATACGTCACTATTTTAAATCTCAGCTA